ATTCTGACTGGAAGTGGGGAGGATGTATTAACTACTGTGTTCTCTGTAAGCTGTTCTTTATTTCTTTAAGATTTCATCCTTTGCGCAGGCTAATCATTGCCCTGTATTCATCACATTTGTTCAACGTGGTTCTGTGTGGTATTTGGCATCAATGCATTACCTTCAGATGGCCAAACTATTGCACTGCGAGTACTTTCTCAAAGCTCACAGACCAGTTTATCCTGGCCACGAATAAACAAAAACATGTGCACGCTGCCAGATAATAAGGATGCTAGACTTACAGCATCTTTGAGGCCATCCATGAAGCCAGGCTGAGGCTCTGTCTCGAACAACCAGTCATTGCGGCTTCTGTAATTGAGGAAACCCAGGCCAGGAACGATAATTGATGGAAGATGATCGTCATAGTCGCCAGCTTCTAGCAGCAAACTGACGTCCCTTGGTCTTCTGACAAACGACTTGCTACCACACTACCTGCCGACCCTCCACCAACTGATGAAAAATGCGTGTATATTTCGACTTTTATAAATAGATGTATAGCAGTGTCAATAAAATGATAGACTGATAGGTAGGCATAGGGAAGTACACTCCTCTTCTTCTTCAGCGTTCCGAGCGTTTGGGGTTCATTGCTAAAAGGTATCACCCGCCTCTATTCATCTCCCTGGTTTACCTTCGCTTTCCATGTGGTGACACCAAGTGTTTTCAGGTCTGTCTGGACATTACCTCTGCATCTTCTTCTTTGTCTGCCTCGTGAACTACGACCATGTATCTCTCTTGCGTATACAGTTTTCACTTTTCTGTCATCTGACACTCTCAATTTGCCGCAACTTTTTCAGTCTACTAGCGCCCATGATGCCAGTGGCCAGATAAACAGACTAAGAATTTCGTTATTGCTTCTCATCTTTAGTTCACGCTGTCGCATCTTAGATGGCTCCAACGTTTCGTCGAAAGACTGTTTTCGAAAACCTATAGTTTTCGAAACCAGGAAGGAGGGGCAAGGGCCCATAGTGAAATACACACGTGCAATAAATAAACATGCTGTCAAGTACTATCTTTCATCTTTTATTTTTTTATTAAATGTTTTTTTTAATGCATACAATAAATTATTAATTGATAAAAACTGTATTGTAAAAAGTTTGGAATAATTCAAAAACTTTAGCCACATTAAAAGGCACTTTCAAAAAACCATACTGGAGGGAAAAGTCGAATGCAATAGAGCAATAGGTAGGCAACGATACAAGTGGAAGGACAACATCAAGAGATTAACGGGCAGCAGTCTGAAAGAGCGAACAACCAAGAAAAGAGACAGAACGTGTTGGAGATCCATTGCAGCGAACCTTCACTGTGGAGACGGCACCTGACTGATTGGGAAAATTGTATACACAAAAGAAGCTGCTTGCTCTCCCCAGTCCAAAAATTAGATTTACTCCAAATTAAATGTCATTTAAATTTTTTTTTTTTTTTTAAAGTTTTGTGGAGTTCATTTTAACTGTAATTATGTGTATTTCAATGAACAATAGCTAGTACATTCAAATATACATAAATCTACCATTTATTAACAGTAGGGAACCAAATGTGGACAAACCCCGAAACCTCTTCTTTTACCATCAAGGCTAGGAGAAAGATCAGATCTTTTAGGATGTTTGACTGTTTGAGATTTCCTCTGTATACTGTCTACTTGTGAGGTTTCGTTTGCTGACTTATAATCGTAATTAGCCTCTTGGGCGGTAGTATTGTAGACAACCTCATAATAGCAGAGAGAACGAGGGTGAGATGAGACCACAGTGGAATGGTCTATGAAAGTGGCTCCCAAGCTTCCAAATGCCCCGACCCTTTAATACAGTTTCCTCACCCAGACAATTTTTTTCCTTAATAACTTTAATGAAAAAGTGTTTTCCGATGGTCTTAGGTGACCACTGTGAAAGGGTCGTTGGACCCAAAGAAGGGTCACGACCGGCAGGTTGAGAACAGCTGGTCTATAAGAAACACTTAGAAGACTAAACTGGAAACACAGTTTCATATAAAAGTGTGTATGCTCCACTGGGGATAGAGGGGAGAAGAAGAAGAAGAAGAAGAAGAAGAAGAAGAAGAAGAAGAAGAAGAAGAAGAAGAAGAAGAAGAAGAAGAAGAAGAAGAAGAAGAAGAAGAAGAAGAAGAAGAAGAAGAAGAAAGAAGAAGAAGAAGAAAAAGAAGAAGAAGAAAAAGAAGATAAAGAAGAAGACATAATTTTAACAAATTTGAGAAACGAATAAAGTATATACGTACTTGTAATTCAAGAATGTTTACTGAATTGTAGGCATTGTTAAAAAAAAAAAATCAACATACACACATTCATACATATATATTCACATACATATATGTAGTCGATTGTGTTTAAATGAGATCATGACCTCGCTAAATTTTTCAGATCTAATGTTGTTGTGAATTCGATACAAGTTTTCTTCTTCGATCTTTCTGTCAGAAAACTTATATCAGGTGGCTGGTAGCCTTTACGAAAGCTATCGTGCAGTCCATATCTTCTCGTGTACCATACAGTGTTAGATACAAGTGAATTCACAAACTTGTGTCGTCCCTATAGCAAATATCGATGTAGCTTGCTTTTTCATTTAAACCGTATACATGTAATATCACGAATTCGCTTGTGGTTTTTGTTTCTTTTTTTTTTCTTTTTCGACAGTACAATATTTGAAAAGATTCAAATGTATCAGAAGTGGCTGTAGATTTTGGGAGACTTCAACCGGCAAAGACCTTGTGTGGATTTACTGTCTGGGTCAAATAAGCGTGTGCGGTAGAGCGAGAGCCAGTACGTGATTGGAACATTACAGCTGGACAGGGGATTGCACTGTTGGCATCGAGGTGCCTAGCAAACTTGTCACAGCGACACAGCGAGCGAGCTCCTTGTGGTGGGAACAGCGTTATGCTACACGAGAACAAGTTATGTTGACTAATCCGCCAGTGCTATGATTTTGGAGCCAGTAGTTAGCTGATAAAAAAAAAAAAAAACTAATGTAGAGCTTTGGGAGAGAACTAAGCAAGCTCCAGTGGACCAAGAGGTGAGGAAAAGACGCTGGCGTTGGAAAGGACACATCGAGAAAACCAGAGAACAGCACAACTAGAATGTCTTTGCATTGGAACCCACAGGGGCATAGAAATAAAGGAAGGCCAAAAACACACGGAGAACAGAGCTGGAGAATGAAGTTAGAAAGATGGGGAGGACATGAGAAGAGCTCTATATAATAGCGAAGGATAGAATTACTTGACGTGAGTTGGTTGAGGGCCTATGCTCCATTGGGGAATAGAAAGGCAGAAGAAGAAGAAGAATAGTAGAAGATAGCTGATAAGACCTATCATGACAAGGAGACAAGGAGTTTCAGTCTGAGCCGGAAATTTGGCGAATGGCGTATAGAACTGATGCCAATGACAATAGTCGAAAAATTTATGACAGTTAGCATTGATAATATTCGACTGCTGCTGGAAGTGACTGGGTGCTTATTGGCGTGTTCCGAATTCCATTCATGTATCTGAATTTTGAGTAGTAAATGTTGGAGGAAGACTCCTGAATTGGAAAGTAATTTTGCCAACATTTGTCTCAATATGAGGAGGAATTTATTTTAAAAGCCCCACTCCTGCGGTTGCAGGAGACCCTAATATAATCCAATCAACGAGTTGAAGGGGTTTCTGAGACATATCCCCGGATGATCCTCATCTGAATGGTGGCATTTAGTGTCACCAGGTGTTTATCGCTCGATGCCCTGTCCTGGTGGGTTGAACGTCAGTTAGTCAAGTTTGCCAGTCTCACCTGTTATATGACACAGGGTTGGTTTCGGCCCTTGGGTGACTTTTCGCTGTGACTGCCTAAAAGCTGGGTGTGGAAAATGGTTTTGTGAGCGAGCGACAAAGAGAGTCAGAGATAGAGATAGTAGAGAGTGGGGGGGGGGGGGGGAGGGGAGAGAAATGAATTTTCTGCATACAAGTATATTGTCATCATCATCATCATCATAAACCACTTCTGCCCTTAAGCGCCGTGGGGAGGAATAATTTGCCAGCCAGTGCACGTTGGCTGCCACTGCTATTGTCATGCCGTGAAGGCGTAGAGTGTCTTTAATGTTGTCGATCCATTTTTCCGCGGCAGTCCTCTTGCTCTTGTAGCTGATCTTCTGATATGTGCTTGTGATGGTATTTCATCTTGCTGCATTCTAACGAGATGGCCAAACATTTGATCTGCTGTTTCTCGATGAATCTAGTACAAGGTGTCGTTCCCACAATTTGCCTGATATTTTCAGTATTCACTCGATCTCGAATGGTTAGGTTGGCCGCTTTTCTCAGGCATCTCATCTCGCAGATGGTGATTTTGCGTATATGGTTTTCAGATAGTGTCCATGTTTGACACTGGTAGCTCAACGTTAAAATGAATATGCTCTTAATAATCTGTCTCTGTGCACTCATAGTTATGCTCGGATATTGTATGTCCTGTAAATACACCGCTTTTGTGATCCTTCACTATATCATGTAACTTTGACATTTGACAATGAATTTTGAATCAAAATAAAAGTTTGTTTGAAAATGTTTCAAATTTAATAACGACAACTCTTGAAACCATGAACATCCTCAGTATAGTGGGATGTGAACCAAACATAGTCAGTTTTGAACTTTTCCGTAAAAGCAAACGCTAAAGACAAGTCATCTGAAGACATTCTAGTAAAATCAAAACAATTATGTCTAGAACTATTACCCCGAACAAAGTGTGTCTGAAAACAGACATGGCAGTTATTATTTTAATAATTCGACAGTTTTGTTTGCAGAAACAAAGAGGCCTTTTATTCAGAATCCCTTGTAATTTTCATTTAAGTTTACATTCAGTGTCGCTTGGTATGGATTGTTGTTCTCTGACGGTAAATGGATAATCTAAACTCTTTGTGATACTTTTACATTGTGATGGAATCAGACTTCCATTTATCATTGACCTGGTTTTGAACAAAGTTGAGTCACACATATCAGAAATGTCAGAAAAAGCCTTGCTTTCGTGTTCCCGTAGCAAACTGCGTGATTTGTTTCTTAACGGGTGGATTCCTAACACCTACGGATGCCAGCCAGGCGTCTTCTTTTTGTATGTCCACGTATCTGTTTACTAATTGTTCTTCATGAAGATCTACATCTTCACTTTTGCAGTTGCGTACATTGCCTGGGGTATGACTTCTCGTGTCTTTGCTGCAGCTATTTCTATTGTTGTTTGGAAAATTGCTTCTGTACATTTCCTGATTGTAAGGTCAATTTCACAATTGCCATTTGAACAAAACCTATCTAGTTTTGAATAGATATCAGCGCATTTAGCATCACATGTCTTGCAGTTGCATGAATCATCAATGACATGACTTCTGTTGTGTTTGTTGCTAAGGTTGTTGTCTAAGTATAGATTTTCTTTCTGAAAGCCAACGTTTCGGTCCCTAAACAGTTGCAGTTGCAACATAAGACTTCCTTTAGGAACACCCACAATTAAGTTACTTACGCAGTCGCAATTTGAACAATGCGTGAATATCTTTGGGAAGCCATGACCGCATTTAGTATCAACTATCGTGTGGTACGGAGACGTAAGCTTATATATACTTGATAGCAGTCTTCCGGAGAATCCAAGGAATTCCACGAACGATTTCTAGAGTGTTTGAAAGCTATAGAATCATCTTCATTGAGCCGAGGTTGATACCCTATGGCTTGGTCTCTCTCCGTAGATAGTAGCTGGTTTATGCCGATGTCAAAAGAATCTGACATAGAAGAAAACTCTGAATCATAGTTTTGATGATACGAAAATAAGAGCGATTTCGTTGTTTTCTGTCTGCATTAGGATTCTTTGTCTCTTGTTTTTCTTCTGCTGGCGGATTTGTAGACTCTGCTGTGAGGGTGACTGAAGGAGCATCAAGCTGAATCATGGAGTCTAGAAAGCCAACTTGTCTTTGTCCAGTAAGCGACGACTGAACTGTAACAAACGTAAATTCGTTAGTAATAAAACAAACTGATATTTTGCACACATAGATACTGTAATTTATGTCTCTGTTGACAATTTGAACTTCTTATAGGTTCTTTTAACCTGAGAAATGTGGACCGCATGGTGAGTGCAGTCATCTCAACTGTACAGGTAAAGTTTTTGACAACAAAACCCATAACGTCACCAAGGATTCGAGCCTGAGTCTAACGCATGTCAAGGGTTGCTTTTTTTTGTTTCAATGTAAAGCACGAAATGAGGTACCGGCACCGCATTAAAGATTGGCTGCAGCTTATTGCCTCCACACTCTGTCTTTCGCCAGGGACTTACACTCCCTTAGACCGCTGTTCGTGCATAACATATCTTTCCACTTCTATCGCTGCCCGTCCCTTGCAAAAGTTCCTTCAAGTATTCGCTCCTGTGTTTTCTTTAATTTTTTTTTTTTAAAATTATAATATTATATAATAATATGGCGAAAATGTTTCACTTATCTCTTTGTTATCCCCCTTCCCCACCACAGCAACTCTCATTTCATTCCCAGTCTCTTTAAAACAACTGCATTCGCTTGTTTTGTTTTCCACGAAACACATTCTTCTGTGTATCCGCATCACCAGAGATTCAACTTTCTAAATAAGCATCACAATAGCAAAATAGGCAATGTTTAACCTCTTTATTTTAGTGTGTTTAAACATAGAAGTATGCTGTTCTAATCAAATGAGTATGCTCCTCTACCAACTTCGCTAGAGAGCCGGGCATTCGCTTGTTTTGGTGTCCATGAAGCACATTCTTCTCTGTCAAATAAGAATCACTGCTTTATTCAAATAAGAATTCTAAACTAGTCACAATAACAAATAGGCAATGTCAAATAAGAATGCTGCTCTAGTCAAATAAGAATGCTGTTCTAATCAAATAAGAATGCTGCTCTAGTCAAATATAGCGAGGTCAAGGTCAGGTAGATTTTCTAAGGAAACTGTTATCCAAGTCATCGGGTCTTGTCTTTAAAATGCGAACACAAAGGTAAGAGAAGTTTTCATAGCATTATGACATTTCTGGAAGTCAAGGGAAATTAAAATGAATACTAAATTTACCAAATTTAACTCTAATGTGCAATCAGCACTGATGTGTTTTTAGATCCCCTCCCACCCCCTGGAAAACTACTAAAACAATTACTAATAAATTAAAAACATTAATTAACTAATGTTTGTGCAGAAAAAGAATGGAATCAAATGGTATGACAGATCGCTAATGTGACGCTTTCATAGAGAACTAAACAATTCCAGCGAATCAAGAGGTGAAGAAAAGATGCTTGCGTTGAACAGGACACACGTTGAGAACATAAGAATAGTATAACTAGGAGGGCTTTATAGTGGAATCAACAGGTTAATGAAAATAAAGGGAGACCAGAACACACAGGGAGTAGGGAATTAGTGGTGGAAAAAAAGAAAGATCGGATGAGCTGCATCCCATCGAAAAGGATATGATGTCTTGGCTTGAAATGGTTGAGGGCCTATGCTCCACTGAGAAATAAAGTCGCTGGCTGGAAGGTGGAAATATGATTGAACAAGGACCTTACGCTAAATGACTGGAATCGTTGTCCCATCCCGTGAATTACGCGTAATTTTGGTAACACGCATCGAACAGAATTAACAACACTGATTTTTCTTTTCTTCGCGTTCACTTGCTTACAGAGACATCGATACCGATGCAAAGAATATTCGGGTGGGGTGAGGCTTTAAGTGGCTTAAACTCTTGGCACCCAGGTTCTAGCACCTATTTTAAATACATGGCTTGGGGAGGCGGTTCGATTTGACCTAAAAAAATTTTTTGTAATAAGAGCACAGTTGTTGTCAATACGAATACGACAGAGATCAAGATACCTTTTTGTTTTGTTTTTGTTTTCAGAAAGACTCATAAAATCATAGGAGAAAGAACAAACAAACAAAAAAACTTTTAAAAAGTTGATACTTTGATTTAATGCTGTGATTATGAAATCATTTCATTTGATGATACTTTATTATCAGAAAAAAGCTGTTCACAGAGGTATAGCATCAGTGCAACAGGTTGTATGTTTACTGGTTGGCTGCAATCTCTTGGGTTTAACTATCTCGTAAAAAGGATTTGCTAGCATCAGAGATGTTGGACAGAATGCCTGTAAACCACTTCAATACTCCAATAACTATTCTAAGAGCGATCACAGAAGAAGAAGAAGAAGAAGAAGAAGAAGAAGAAGAAGAAGAAGAAGAAGAAGAAGAAGAAGAAGAAGAAGAAGAAGAAGAAGAAGAAGAAGAAGACTCACCTTTTTTCTTTGTTCTCAAAAGAGATACCACATCTGTGTGACCTTGAACGACTGCCTCATTTTCAGCCGTGAAGAATTTGATGTTAACCAGTCGACAGTCGGCCCCGGCTTCCATCAAGCACCGTGTGATCTTTCCGTGTCCTCTGTATGAAGCCAGATGGAGTGGTGTGTCCCCACGACACGTTTGAGCGTTGACATCTGCTCCATGATGAATAAGAAGCCTATAATAGAGATGGAATTAACTTACAGCTGTACAGATTAGTCAGCTACGTAAACATATATAACCTCCATGTTTAAATACATGAGTACGCTGATAACATCAGATGGAAAATGTATTAAAGAAGTGAAATGCCTCAAGCAAAGGCAGCATTTAAAAAAAAATAATTCTTAAAAGCTATCTCCTATGGTGTTATACGGAATTAAATATGGACAAATGGTAGATTAGGGGAAATTATTTGGAAGCTGCGGAGATGTGATTGCATAAACGAATGATAAGAATACCCTGGACAGATTTAAAAGAGTAATGAAGATGTCTTGAAAGAAACTGACTCACCAAGAGAACTGATTGCCCACATCAGAAAGAGAAAGTCTGCATTCATTGGTCACTTGATTAGATGGAGAAAACTAGAGTACATGGTGAGAGTAGGAAAGTTGGAGGGGAGGGGAGGCAGAGGTATATCGAGAGAAAAGATGCTGTGCAGTCTGTCATCGTAGCATGGAGGATCATCTGTGTCAGAGTTTATTAAGAGTTACATGAGACAGTAGGATGTGGATAGCCATGACTATCAACGCCACACGACATGGACTTTTAGAAGAAGAAGGAGGAGAAGTTACAACCTCACTCAAACGATGACAACGCGTGCGCACTGGATCAGACGCGCAGCCACAAATAAATCCTTGGGCCATGGGGCTTGTTGGTCAGAGTGGGCAATGATAATAGTAATAATAATTATTAACAGTATTATAATTACTACTGCTCTTATACAAGCTTTTAAATCATAGGGAAAAAAAAGGAGCACCGGCACTCACTACAAAGTCTCTATTTCAGTAGCGCTGACATAACGAACAAACGAATGAACGAACTTTATTTTCAAGGGGTTAATAACTAGGCACGCAACCCTTTTAACATTCTGGTCTTCTAGTCTGCCTCCTTTCTTACATCATTTCATACTAGGGCTGTACCGAATAGTGATTTTCACTATTCGGCCGAATACGAATAGCTGGACCAACTATTCGGCCAAATACGAATACGAATAGTGAATCATCATCATCAGGTGCTTTGCCGACTAGTATGGGCGACTATGCCTCGCCACAATCTAAGATCTCCTGCAGCATGTATTAGTTCGTGTGCTGACACACCTCCATGCCATGCAACAAGACTGTTAAGAATCTTCTCTTCCTCTATCCCTCCTTCCACAGATCTTTCCAGTGGTCACCACGTGTTCCATTTTCCCTCATCTTATAACATAGCCGAAAAATGATGACTATCTCCTTCTGATGTCTGTGAGTAGTTGTCTTCGGGCTCCCGCCTCTATCAAAACATTTTGGTTGCTTTTTTGTGTGTGGCTGTCCAGGGTATTTTAAGCATTGTTATGTAATACCACATCTCTAATCACCGCTCGCCTCTGTTCGATGTTCGTTCACTAGTCTTCTTGAAGTGAGCACTGCCCGACCCAGTTCATTGCTGGTTTACCAGCCTTCATGTAGTAAGCACCGCTCGCCTCGGTTCGATGTTCATTCACTAGTCTTCTTGTAGTGAGCACTGCCTGATCCAGTCCATTGCTGGTTTACCAGCCTTCTTGTAGTAAGCACCGCTCGCCTCACCCCAGGTCGATGTTGGTTCACCAGTCTTCTTGAAGTAAGCACCGCTCGCCCCAGTTTGATGTTCGTTTACCAGTCTTCTTGTAGTGAGCACTGCTCGCTCCAGTGTATTGCTGGTTCACTAGTCTTCTTGTAGTGAGCACCGCTCGCCTCAGTTCGATGTTCGTTCACTAGTCTTCTCGTAGTGAGCACCGCTCGCCCTAGTTCGATGTTCGTTCAATAGTCTTCTTGTAGTGAGCACTGCTCAACCCAGTTCATTGCTGGTTTACCAGCCTTCTTGTAGTAAGCACCGCTCACCTCGGTTCGATGTTCGTTCACTATCCAGGGTATTTTAAGCATTGTTCTCTAATACCACATCTCTGAGGCTTCAAGAAATTGTTTGACCTGCCTACCGATTTTCCAGGACATACAGCCACATGTTAACACTGGATGTATGTAGCAAGCAAGAATTCTTTTTCTAACCTTCAGTGACAAAGATTTATTGCATAAGATGTTCTTCATTTGTGCCTGTCCTATTCTGTTTTTAATTTCAGTAATGCATCTTCCATCTGATGTAATCCATGTGCCCAGATACTTAAATTTCCGTACTTGTCCCAAAATTAAACCATTGACTTTTATTACACATTTAGGAGTAATTATTTTCTTTGATACCACCATTACATCTGTCTTCCCACTATTCACATGAAGGCCCATTCTTCCACTTTCGTGTAGAAAATAGATCTAAAAAGAAAACACCCATAATGTCAAATGGACGCTGACATTTTACTTCACAAAATGTAGTACAGAATAGTAAACATTTAAACACATTTTATGTTTTGCATTCTTCAGTCAGTCAGTCTGTGGTAACTAATACCTTGGAATGAAAGTATTCTTAGTTTTATAACAAGTAACTAAACTTGTAAATTGTCACTGACAGCTTAATTAATCCATGAAAGCGGCATTAGCTTTCCACACACCAAAAAGCGTTCCATATTGTCAGCATTAAGGCAGCTTTTTGTCTCACTGAAGGTATTTCCAGCTGTACTAAACAGACGTTCACTTGGTACGCTCGTAGGTGGTGCACAGAGATAACGCTGGACAGTATGAAACAAGGTGGGAAATCTTGATATGTTTAATTTCTACCAGTCCAGGAACGAGTGTAAGGTAACCACTATTCGTATTCGGCCCGACCGCAACTATTCGGCCGAATACCGTATAGTTATTATGTCCACTATTCGGCCCCTAAGCGAATACGAAGCGAATATTCGGTACAGCCCTATTTCATACATTCATCAAGTAATAGTAAACATTATCAATAGTATCAAAATGTTCTCCATTCAAGAGCTGAAATGTGCACATTTATAACTATAGTAAACCATAGTAGTTCTAATCTAGGCGAAATGTGCACTAATGATGCATAAAAAGATGTTAGTACTGCGTCCACGTGAATTCCATCAGAAAATAGGCACTGATTATTATTACTATTACTATTAATAATAATAATTTCCTGAATGGCACAAAAATACAATAATATATTCTAAATAAACGGAAATATTTAAGCAAATACTCAAAATAAAAGAAAACTTTTTATACAGGATTGAGAGGTCACTTCACCCTGTGCACATTTGCTGTGCGGGAGGGTTAGGGGGAAGGGGGGGGGGGGGACCTCAACCCCTAAATATTATGGTGGATCTGAGGACCGGTGGCCCCCAGGCACTGGATGCATGGAAAACCAACGAATGCAAAATCATAAAAGTCAGATTATATATTTACATTGTCAGTGTGTGATTGATCGAGCGAGCTGAAAGCCGTGGGTTCGATTAGGAAAGGGGTTACTGGGCTCACAAGTTTTTTTGTGTGTGTGTCGATGGAGCTCTTGGTGGACGACAAGCCTGACGAAAGTTGTGTATACTACAGCTGTGAACATATCGCCTGGACAATTATCAGGCAACTTGAAAGTCGAATACATTCCGTCCTGCGTCTCTGCCAGACCGCAAACCAAACACTGAGCCCACTGCAGAACTTCTGTTCCAATACAAAGTATTTCAGGATCCTCGCCGGCGCTATAGAACCTGTGTACTGTGCTGAGCTTCTTCGGATTCACACTTGAGTTAGAAGAAGAACGGAGCACTTATAAGTTACTACCCGTGTGCTATGATGTTGAAGTATTGTTCAAACCTCAAACCTCAAGCCTGTTACAGTAGAAGCTTTGAGAATGCCAGAGGAAAAAAGGCATCTAGGACAAATTTTAGGGAAATCTTTGGAGAACTGCTGCTTACGTGTCCTTTCATGGAAGCAACATAGCTGATAACATAAGCACATACAGCTGATAGCAAAGAATACAAAAAAGAGAACAACTGGAGTTGTTGATATGTAGAAGTATAGTTATATTTTATGGAACCAAAAATAGTCACATACAGGAATGCTGGAGAGAAAGGTAAGGAAAAGAGAATTGTTGAAGAATATAATCTATAGAAAAAAAAAAAAAGAGAGACAAAGGCAACATTTCGATCATAATGAGACTTAACATTTTTTATAAAACTCAAAACTAAATACAGGTAAGCACGAAGTCAGAAGCGATTCAAAAGGGATGATAATGAGAACATCAATAGATTGACAAACAGGAAGTCTGAAACAATATTCATCCATGACGGGCGACAGATAATGTTGGAGATCCAATGCTGCCACTGCTTGTCGCCACGTCTTCTTAATAGCTGAGCAGAAGGACAGCTGCATTTATCATAGGACTGACAGTGTAATCATTAAAGACAAATGTCGCATTAAGGGGAAGGAAGAGGAGGAGAAAAAAAAAGAGAAGAACAAGTAGGACGAGGAGGAAGACGAGGAGGAGAAAGAAAACGACGTCGAGGAGCAGCTGTATCGTCAGAAGAAGAAGAACCAGAACAAGAACCAGAAGAAAAAGAAGAACAAAACGAATAATAATAATAATAATAAATAATAATAACAGTAACAAGAAGAAGACAAATACACTACTGTTATATCAAGATCTATACGTCAGACTCACCTTACTAGTTCCACATAACCATTATCCGCAGCTCCGTGCAGCGGCGTTGCTAGGTTCTTGTCTCTGGTGGCGACATTTGCGCCCTTGTCCAACAGTAGCCGAGACAACTCTAAGTAACCGCGACTGCAGCAAATAAACAGTGCTTTGTCTATCATGATTTTCATCGTCTGGTACTCGCTAATTCCGCCATGCTTACCCTGTATGCTGTTTTTGGCTAACGACTCCTCGCCTTTCAGTATGGCCGTTATGAGTGTACGGGCTATCATACTTGGTATCTGTTAATTCCTTACTAATGTTCTAAATGTCTGTGAAGGAGCAATACTTTCCTAACTTTGAGTTTCACTTGCTAGTTGTCGATAGTTTGTACTTTAAGTTTAATTTTGCAATAGAAACAAACTAGACATTTTCTACAGTTTTAAGGCAAATCTGAAGTTAGTAGATTCCAATTTAAAATCTAGAAATTCTAGAAAACTCGCTCACTCCTAATTAGTATTCAAAGAAGGAGTATTTCTGTGACCTGCTGATGAGATGGCAAGTACACCAGTCTGTCATATGTAATAAACATAATGATAGTATATTAAACTGCTGTAATACTCGCCCCCGACCTAATTACGAATCAGCCAACCAACTAATTAACGAAACAATCACAACCAAGTAACAAGCCAGCAGTAACCAGTTAATAAACCATCTAATTAACCAGCCACCAGTTAACTAACCAACGAGTCTTTCAAGTGAACAAATACAACAATTTCCAAGGTTTCATAGGCACTGTCTGGAAGGAGGTGCTACACTGGGAACATCTTGAGATACAGCAAGCAGAAAATAACCAAATGGGCACTGAAATGGGAAACAAAGGATTATTGACACGAGGACGGCCAAGAGAAACAATAAAACGAATGCTGCTGAGGAAAGTTCAATGTGTCGGACGGGGTTCTATGATATCATAAGGGTTGAACAGGATAACACACAATGAATGACTAGACTGCGAGCAATATGTGACGTTTAACGGCGTAATGGGATGATGATGTTGATGATGATGATGAAGAAGATTGTCACAGACGGAAAAACGACGAGATACGGAACTAGACACGTCATATCAAATGCAGTGAACCAGAATATGTGAAAATCTAGCTTAATCATTATCTGCTATGGGGCTACCTTACCTTGACAGATAAACCGACGTCCGTGACAAGAATTTATTTACAGCAGACAAAACAGATAAAATTCTTTGTGCACACATCGCGGACTAAACATTACTAGACAATTCTTATTTAATATACAGATTAAATTGCCTAAACATTTACAGAAGCGCCTATTGTTATATACTAACAGAATGAGTGAACATCTTCGACAAGAGGTTTTTGCACATAGTACACAAAGCAGTGACAAAGTGTTATGTACACGTTGAACAAAGTATCTATACGATTTAATAAAACTGAACCGACACTACTGTCTGCATGTACGACATGTTAGGGCGCTGTAGACATGGAGTTGTGCACCTGAGGGTTTAAGATCGCACGGCTAGTGCTGTCGCAACCGACTGTACAGGTTAGGATGTTTAATTTTGCCAAAGAAACTGACAAGATGACTAAAATATAAAATACACACCCTAAAAAAGTTAGTTGCGTATCCTTTACAGGACGTTGCAGAACCAACCCTAACAGCCCCTGGCTGTTGTGTGGTTTCTCTTGGCAAATTTACGTCCAGTAGTTTGCCATTGCTTGTGGACGGTCGGCTTTCTTGATACCACTGTCGAAACCAACGCAAGGCGCATTGCCCGCAACTGGGATCGAACCCGGCATCACGGCATTTCGAAGCGAAGCGTTCGCATCGACTTAGCCGACAAAATACACATACAATAGGCAAAATTAAAATCATCAAATGACTATACTAAGAGCACACAGACTAAAAACACTAGAACTATTTAACCTTATATGTTTATGTTTATAAGCTCTAGTGCTCGTATTAGACTTTCTACACCAACGTTTCTCAAACATTTTTCGCCGTGGCACCTCTGTAGGGCAAAACAAAATTCTCAGCACACCTACCTTTAAAGCGGTTTGAATACTTAAGAAAATAAGTAAAAACAGTGCAAATTCAATGTTCAATTGGCTTAAATGCGATGAATAAACTGTTTGGAATTTATCATTATTTCCTTTTTGTTTATGGAAAGTCTAATTGAGAATGCACTACTGCATTGTCAATAGCACTGTTTTCTGAATACACCTGTATCCAGAACTGTTCTTGGCTTCCTTCGTGGTATTTCTGTTTTAAACTACTGTTTTCGCTAATCTCAAGCAGATTGTGAAAAATTCTTGATTATTGCCGCGGCACCCAGTTTGAGAACCACTGTTCTACACGATAGTTACGCGGTGTAAATCTAAACTTGTTCCTGAACAGTTAATATCTTATCCATGAGCTCCCTTCGTATGATACAATTTGTTTACTGACCGTACTAACAGGCGCATATAGACGCAGAAGAAAGAAAGAGAGAGACAATACACATTAGACAGATACAATTATGAATCTATAATTACCACACAATGAATCGAATAGTCTCGAAGGTTCCCCTAAGGTTTATATCTGCCACTATGCTAAGTGAGTTATGCAAATCACACACATATATATATACAAGCATATGATACCGAAACACGGCGTAACTCCCGGAATAAGGAAGTGAAAGGTGTTGGCATTCTGTTTCAGTTTTAGGTAGGATTGGCAAGCTAGTTTCTTAACTGCCTTTGTTACATCCTGTTCGTGGTCGTTTGTTGATACATCATCATCATCATCATTATCATCATCATCATCATCATCATCATCGTCATCATCATTAGAGATAGACGGTTCAACAGGATATGCAGATGTTTATGTACTTATAAAGGCTTATGAATTTTCAGTACCTATTTCAATACGTCGATTTCTCCCCCCAACCCCCTTTTTAAAAAAAAATATAGACTGGTTGGTGTGCTAAATTCATAACCCTTTAGAAATAGCTAATTCGTTTA